TATTTTTCCTTAATTAACATTACTATAAATTGCGACAAAATAAAAATACTGATACCTTTGGCCCCATAGTAACAGCTACAGCATCGGCTAAAAGGTCTACACCTTGAAGCATTAAGGCTCGGGCATCTGCACCAAATTTTACATCTTTGGCATAAGCCCGAGTGAGGTGAGGAGCCAGTGCGCTGGACACTGGCCTAATCTGGCGAAGGACTTTGTGTAGTCGAAGCATTTCTGGGGAGAGGAGGAAACAAGCATATCATCAGTACATCAATACTAGCATTACCGGGGATGCGTTATAATGCCAACGTGACACCTGAGCAACAGACAAGTGTTAGACGTGAGCTGGGCTGACCTCTGCCAGCCACGATACCTGGGCCATGGAATGCGCCTCGGCTCCAGAACGCCATGAGCCAGCACAAGTCTGAAGAAAGGGCCGCCCCCACGCCTGACCTACAGCACCAGCACAAAGCACACCCATCTTCCTCCTCAGGCCACCCACCCCTGCTAAGGACTTGTTAATCTTTCACTGCTAAAATGGCCTTCAGAGCCAACCCATTCCAAACACGCCTCTGATAAACCAAGTCTGCAAGAAAGGGGCAGGTTAGAAACCCGGCGATCAGGGGAGTCGAAATATTCCTGACAGTGCAAAAATCTGTTTCGTCAATGTGTCTTCAGGGCAGCCGGCTAGGCCGCTACACTAGCGGCCGCGGCCCGGCCCACTCCGCGCGGCCCCACGTGTCTTTCCATCCGAACGCCCCGAGCAAGGTCAAGGGTGGAGGCGCCGCACCCCGCGGAGTCCGAGGGGCCAAAGGCGGTTCCCACGCGGTTGCGACCACCCTCCCCGGAGCCCTGCAGTCGGCCAGGAGCCAGTTGCCTCGGAAGGCCCACGTGAACACACTCCCCCGACTCCACGCACCCTCCGGGGCAAGCCCTCCCTCCTACGCCCTGCCCCGCGAGCGATCCACGCGCACGTGATAGGCACCCGCATGAAGCCGCGAGGCCTGGGCTAGCGGATCCGGGCCTGCGGCGCTCAGGGGAAGCGCAGGCTCTCTACGGCCGGCCCACTCGGGCACTAGCGCAGCCAGGAGAGGCCCGCGCCGGGCTCCGTGGCGCCT